TCTTCAGAAGTCAGACACTTGTGCCAGCTAGATGTCTTCAAGTCTTATCTTATCTCCAGCTGCTTGTCCACCTGTTCTGGATACTGGCTGACTAAGCCTCCACCTACTCAAGCCAGGCCCTGGCCGTTAGAACATCACCTTTACCTGTGCTTAGCATTCGCCTCCTCTAATCCTGCCAGCTACTTCTCAAGCTTAGTCGAGTGTTGGCACAGCTAGAGCAGCTATGGAGCAATCTCCCCATCCAGAGCAGTCTGGACCACTTAAGTCAGAGCCCAGAAGAGGTAGACATATCAGTTTTTTGTTTGGTTGGTTGTTTTTTTTTGTTTGTTTTGTTTTGGTTTTTTTTTTTTTTGTGTGTGTGTGTGTGTGTGTGTTTGGGTTTTTTTTGTTTTTGTTTTTGTTTTTTTTTTAAAGATTTTATTTATTATGGTTTTGTTTTGGTTTTTTTTTTTTTTGTGTGTGTGTGTGTGTGTTTGGGTTTTTTTTTTGTTTTTGTTTTTGTTTTTTTTTTAAAGATTTTATTTATTATGTATACAACATTCTGCTTCCATGTTTATTTGCACACCAGAAGAGGGCACCAGATCTCATCAGGGAATGGTTGTGAGCCACCATGTGGTTGTTGGGCATTGAACTCAGGACCTCTGGAAGAACAGCCAGTGCTCTTAACCTCTGAGCCATCTCTCCAACCCTTTTTGGTGTTTTTTTGAGACAGGGTTTCTGCTGGTATTAAAGGTGTGGGCCACTAACACCCGGCTGACATAACAGGTGATTCGGACATGCATTCAGGAATGCTTGGGAAAGAGCCTTTGAAGAATAAATAACATATGCTTGGGACTCAAATTAGCAGAGGTTTTTTTGTTTTTTTTGTTTTTGTTTGTTTTTGAGACAGGGTTTCTCTCTGTAGCTTTGGAGGCTGTTCTTGAACTCCCTCAGTAGACCAGGCTGGCCTTAAACTCACAGAGGTCACCTGCCTCTGTCTCCCAAGTGCTAGGATTAAAGACATGGGTCACTACTGGTCAGTTAGCAGAGGTTAACTGTAGGATGGAGCTAGGGATGAAGGCTAGAGCACTTGCCTAGAGTTTCCCAGTGAGAGCTTGGGACCATGGCTTAATGGGAGAGTACTTTCCTAGACTCCCCAGTGAGGGGCTAGGGATGATGGTGGTAGATTGGTGGTAGCCCGAATAGCATGTGCAAGGCCCTAGGCTTAATTCCTAGCATTACACAAACTAAAGCAATTACAAATTAAACTGTACCATGCATTACAACCAACTAGTGAGCTTGTTAAAATACAGCTTAAATGCTTGGCATGTTGGCATATGTGTATAATCCCAGTTCTTTGGGAGGCAGATTTCTGTGAGTTCAAGTTCAGCCTACAGTTACTGTTCAGATCTACACAGTAACTTCCAGGACAGCCACAGCTACATGGTGAGACTCTGTCTCAAAAAATAAAAATTAAAAAGGTAGGGTTAGAAATATGGCTCAGCAATTGAAAACATGTACTGCTCTTGAGAACACCTGAATTGATTCCAGCACCCACTTTGGGGGCCTCACAACTGCCTGTAACTCCAGCTCCAGAGGATCTGATGTCCTGTTCTGCTCTCTGTAGGCACCTGGGTAAACAGGACATACACACATATTCAATATGATCTATCCAAACCCCAGTGCTTGCTCTGTGGTGGTTTGCAATATAATCCCAGCACTGGGGAGGCAGAGGCAGGCAGATCTCTGAGTTTGAGGCCAGCCTGGTCTGCAAATAGAGTTCCAGGACAACAAAACAAAACAAAAACAGACAAAAAAAGGTGCAAAACTTTCCAACTAGGAGTGTTAATGCTTGTGACTCCAGCACGGAAAGGCTGAGACAGGATGGCCATGAGTTTGAGGTCAGCTTAGACTTTCCATACTGAGTTTTTTCATACTGAGATCCTGTCTCGGAGAATCAGACCAAACCACATACCCTAGTTTGCCTCTCTATTGCTTGATAAAACAAAGACTAAAAGCAACTTTCAGGGGAAAGGGTTTATGTGGCTTATATGTCCATGTCCCAGTCCATCACTGAGGTGAGCCAAGGCAAGAACTCTGGGAGCTGGATCTGAAGCCAAAGCCACAGAGGGATGCTGCTTACTGCCTTGTTCAGCTACCCAGACCCATATGCTCAGGATTGGAGCCACCTGCCATTTGCCTCCCCAAGCCATTCATCAAGATGATGCCCACTGGCATGCCTATGGGGTAGTCTGATGTAGTCAATTCCTCAGCCACCCTCTTCCCAGGTGACTCGTTTGTGCCAAGTTGACAAAAAACCAGCACAACAAACAAACCAAAACCCAGACAGCTTTCTTTGTAGATGGCAGAGAGGCCAGCACTCCCCACCCAACTGCCCTGAACTGAATTGATGCTAGTTCCCAGAAAAGGGCAAAAGGGAAGGAAATGAGCCCTCTCCCCCTCTGTTCTCTGAACGAAGTTCCTCACTAAAGATAGCCAATGTGTCTGTCTGTCTATGTCTCTCGGCTTCTGACTTTGCCTGTGTCTTTAAAGGATCTTTGTAACTATGGCAGCAGGGCTGAAACTGAGGCCAGGCACATTAGTGGAGGCCGGACAGACAGCCCACTTTGAAGCGTGGAGGCTTGCTGTAGCATGCCAGTTCTAGGAACATTTTTTTCCTCAATGAAGCTGGTTTAATCCAAATGTCTTTCAAGATATGTCTGGTTTTTGGTGAAATCTGTGGCTTATATCAATGCCAAATTCCTGATTATATCTGGCTATGAGAGATACTGAAGGAAAATAGTGGAAATGTCCCTAGAGGCTACCTTTTCTTTTCTTTTTTCTTTTAAAAGATTATTATGTATACATGTTTGCCTGCATGCTAGAAGAGGGCACCAGATCTCATTAAATATGGTTGTGAGCCACCATGTGGTTGCTGGGAATTGAACTCAGGACCTCTGGAAGAGCAGTCAAAGAGCAGCTATCTCTCCAGCCTCGAGGGTACTTTTGAAAAATTACAATTACTTGGGGTTGGAGAGATGGCTCAGAGGTTAAGAGCACCGATTGTTCTTCCAGAGGACTAGGGTTCAGTTCCCAGCACCCACATGGCAGTTCACAACTGACTGTAATTCCAGTTCCAGGGGACCTAACACCCTCACACAGACATACATATGGGCAAAAAACCCACCAATGCACTAAAAACAGATTTTTAAAAAGTACATTTACTCACTTGTGTGTTGTGGGTGGTGTATGCACACCACAGTGCCTGGGTGAGGTCAGAGGACAACCTGTGGGAATTCTCTTTTGTCATGTGAGACCTAGGACTCAAACTTCGGGTTGTCAGGCTTGATGGCAAGTGCTTTTATCTCCTGAGCCATCTCAGATGGTTGAATTCTGGATCCTCCTGCCTCTACCTCTTGAGTGCTGGGATTACAGGTGAGTGCCACAATGCCTGGAGGTTTATTTTCCTTTCAGTGCCTTGTAAATCTGTAATTTTTTTCTTTTCTTTTTGAAAGATTTGTTTAGTACATATACAGTATTCTGCTTGCATGTGTCCCTGCAGGCCAGAAGAGGACACCAGATTTCATTATAGGTGGCTGTGAGACACCATGTGATTGCTGGAAATTGAACACAGGACCTCAGGAAGAATAGTCAAGTGCTCTTAAACTCTGAAGCATCTCTCCAGTACTGTCACTATAAAAAAATTGTTTTTTAAAACAATGTACTTAGTTGGGCAGTGGTGGTACATGCCTTTAATCACAGCACTTGGGGGGCAGAGGCAGGAGGATCTCAGTGAGTTCAAAGCCAACTTGGTCTACAGAGTGAGTTCCAGGACAGCCAGGAGTGTTACACAGAGAAACCCTGTCTCAAAAAACAAACAAAACCAAAACAACAACAAAACCCATTGTGCTTAGTAGTAGATGTCTGTATTCACAGTACTTGGGAGTCTGAAGCAGAAGGATTGATTCTTTAAGGCCAGCCTGACCTACAAAGTGAATTCCAGGCCATCTAGGGTTACACAGTGACCCACCACCCCTAGATAAAAACCAAACTAAAAAATTTCTGTAATCCCAGTATTCAGAAGATTGAGGCAGGAGGGTTGCCACAAGTTTAAGGCCAGTTTGGGCTACAATATTGAGACCCTGTTTTAGGAAACAAAAATCTTTTCCAGCTGAGGAGATGATTTAGTGGGTAAAGCATTTGCCTTGTATGGGGATTCTAGTTAGGCTATCAGAAACCAATATAAACACTGGGTGGATGTGTCATGTCATCCTGCTTGTAATCCCAACACAAAGGAGGAAGAGACAGAGAAAATGGAGAAAATTGCTTGGAGAAAATTGGTTTAGTTAGAATAGCCAAAAGTGTACACTACAGATTTACCCTGCTCCAGTACTGGGTATATAAGGTGGAGAGCAATCATGGAAACCAACAGACATCAACATCTGGCCTTCACACAAATGCACACTCGGACTTGAACACATTCGAACACACAAACACCTATGTATGACACATACACATAAATAATACAATTTTTTTTTGAGTTAAGAGTCTTACTATACAGTATTCTCTGGCCTGAAGTTTGTTGAATATGCCAGGCTGGCCTTGAACTCAAGAGAAATCCACTTGTCTCTTTGCAAGTGCTGGAATTAAAGGAATATGCCACCATGACTTCACCTCTCCCCCCCAATAAAAGAATGAAAGAAAAAAATCTCTCTTCTAGCCGGGCATTGGTGGCGCATGCCTTTAATCCCAGCACTCGGGAGGCAGAGGCAGGCGGATCTCTGTGAGTTCGAGGCCAGCCTGGTCTCCAGATCAAGTGCCAGGAGAGGCTCCAAAGCTACACAGAGAAACCCTGTCTCGAAAACCAAAAAAAAAAAAAAAAAAAAAAAAAAAGAATCTCTCTTCTAGGTACTAGATAGCAACTTCAGTTGTAGAGCTGTTTTAGCATAGTGAATGTTCCAGATTTGATCTCTAGCATGGTCAAATAATATTAATAAATTAGCCATGTGGGTGGCACATACCCTTGATTCCGTTGCGCTCTGTGAGTTCAAGGCCAGCCTGTCTCAAAAAAAAAAAAAATCATCATATTAGATTAGTATCTCCTTTTCAACGTTCTTTCCACTCTGCAGGCTACCCCCAAATCCAGGCATTGATCGCCTCCCCGGAGGACTTTTGCAAGGACTTCCAGTTGGCTTTTATTATTATTTTTTTTTGCTCAATTTGCCCTGGAACTGCTATATAATCTAAGTAGACCTTGAATTTCTGATCTTCCTGCCTCCAGCTCCCTAGTGTGGGATTACAGGCTCATGGTGTGCTGAAGAACTCAGCTTCCTACAAGGTCGGGAAACTCCCAAACAACAGACGGAGCTACATCCCCAGTCCCAACATACATGTTTTGGTTTTGTTTATTCTTTTCAAGTGGTGGGAATCGAACCCAGGGCTTGTACAAGCCAGGTTAAGTGCTCTACCATTAAGCTGATCACCTGGTTTGCTCTCTAACTTCAGTATTAGTGCAAAATGAGCCATGGATGGAGCTTGCTTCGTGCCCTCGTAGGATAGCCAGCTGGGATGAAGCCGGCACTCAAGGGTCTCCTCTTTCCGAGCTTACTAGCCCTTTCTTTTCTGAAGCTCATGCCGTTGCTTCTCCACAACACCCTTGCGGTTCAGGTCCCTGCGGGGCTGTCCCACACCAACCGTAGGGGCATTTCTCTTCCCCAGCAGCAGCATAGGTAAAGTGGGAATAAGAACCTCTGCCCGGTCCCTTGGAAGGACGGATCCAGTGTGGCCACCACGCTTCTAATAAGCGATCTAGAGGCAGTGAAGAGCATGGACGGCGGAGTCTGGCCCCGGAACAAAACTGGCATGTATCAAATAGGCTAACCGTCAGGCTCCGCCCCTCAAAAACAGTCCAATGGCCAGGCCTTGCCTCTTTACGTCAACCTCTAAGTCCCGCCTCTCAGGCCGGCCCCACCCCTCAAGGCGCAGGAAGCGGTTCACTCAAACCGGCCAGGCCCCGCCCCCAGAGCGCTCGCCCTGCTAAGCCCCGCCCCTCAGGGAAGAGCTAACGTATTCCTCCTAACAAACACTCAGACCACCAACTCCTATTCCCCAAGACACTAAAACGGTTAAGACTCCGCAAGACGTTTCGAAGGCCAAGCTCCGAAGGCCAAGCTCTGCCTTACAGCGTGTGCAATTAGGGCCGGTCCGTCGAAACGCGCCAACGGCCAGGCCCCGCCCCACAGAGCGCTCTGGCGGGCGAGCCCAGCACCTCGGGCAGCGCAAGCGGCTAGGCTCCACCCCACAGAGCGCTCCAACCGCCCGGCTCCGCCTCACGGAGCGGGCTAACGGACTGGCCCCGCCCTCGAGGCGCCTACGCAGCCAAGCTCCGCCCCGCAGAGCGCTCCAACCGCCTGCTCCTTTCTCATAGGACACCGGAACGACCAGGCCCCGCCTCCCGAGGCTTGCCTTGGACCAGGCCACGCCCCAAAGAGCTCAACGCCGGCCGGGCCCTCCCGCCCCTCGAGGCGCGCCAACTGTCCTCCCCCGCCCCTCGTGCGCCGAGACGTGAGGACGCCGGCGTCGTAGGCTGAGGTGGCCGCAGTCCTGCAGACATGGAGCTGCCGCAGATGCCCGAGCTCGTGGGGCTGTCCCTGCTGGTGGGACTGCTGGCCCTGGTGGCCACGGCGGCGGGGGGCCCGGGG